TTCCCCTTTATTTTTGTTGGCAGCCCCACTTCTCAAGAGTTCTTCTGTATCACAGAGGAAGGACTGGTAAATGCAGCAGTCCTTACAGTGCTTCAGCGCTAAGCAGGCCCAGATTAGGATGTCTAAAACCATTCAACAGTCCAGAATAAAGGTGGCAGGTGGACGTAGAGAATACACGGGCATTGCTGCTTATCCTTTACTGCACTAAACAGAGACGGTGCATTGCTGCTCACAGACTGTTAGCAGTGATTGCGTGCTTATTACCACCTTCAGATAACCAGACGTAGCGATAGGACTGGGCTGGGTCAACTCTTAACTCATTAGGAGATGTGTGGCGAGAACTGCAAGTTGGTGCAGCGATGGATCACGTGCAGAAGTTTTTCTTGCTTCTGATTGTTACCTGACAGTGTTGAAGTTCATTATAGCAGTGGCAACAAATACAGTCCCACTACCGATGTATATAGGAGACAGAGAGGTTGTGCATTCAAAAATGCATACAAGGAAGGGCTAGAAATATATTTCAGCACCTTTCACAGAGACGTACAATGGATTCACAGCCCATCCAAGCAGGGAGTATCATCTAGACGTGAATACCTCACTCTTACGTAGCGATTTAGGTGAACAGGGTCACCGATGTCACGTTTGACAGATGTTTTCATTCCAAAGTTACCCTGCATTTGGCAGCAACTGTTACACAACCTAAAAGAGTCCAAAGATCAAACAGGATGCATCAAAATAGCACTACTTTCTCCTCTATACTCTTGTTTTGGGGCTGAAGTATGCAGGGGTTGCTCCTGCACACCTATAAATCTGTCTTCTGATTTTGAACTGACCTAGCATTTTAAGCATAACTAAAAATCATCACTGGACAGCAAAAACTTCCCTTTAAATACATTTTTCGGAATATATACTGAATTTACAATGTCTTACATGGTACCTGATTGAGTTTTTCCATGTGTTGTTGTCTGTAGAATAATTTTTAATTGCTAAAAACAAAGAGCAAAGATGACATTCTGTGTATATCACCAGTTATAATACCCATATTTAATGTCATTTGCTGTAGTTCTCAGAAGAGCAATCAGAAAATGAAGTGAGGAGTCTGATCACTGTAAAAAAGATTAGCAAATTGAATGATGCCTTAGGAGACTTCATCATTTTGGATGCTGCTCATGGAAAAATACAACAATTAAAGTTTTCAGGCATCATATGCTGAAGTACTTCAATGCAGATCCACCTGTTAGGAAAACATTAGCCTCCCCACCTTAAATTTCAGGTTGGACTTTGCATGCCATACACAAGCCTTAAAACAAGAGATGTTTTAAATAAATAATGTCTTGTTGTTTGTGTATACAATGCTGCTTTGCTGAGATCTGTTTCAGTACTTACCAGGCAGATTATAAAGCAAGAAACAAAAATAGCCCCTTAACAATAAACAGTACAAGGTAAAAAAACCTCACCTTATTTGTCCCCAAACTTGCAAGACTGTGTCACCACATACCTTTATGTCTAGAGGTTAGTCAAGGGCAGCAGGTGTGGGTGTGGGGAATATACAGTGCTTCATGAGGCAAAATACCAGAATTAAATATAACCTGGGAAGTTTATCTTGATTTAAAAAACTAAGCTGTACTGTACTTGAAGTCTTATTCAGGTACTGTTTGCGATAAAGATCAGTCAAAACACAAGAGTGTGAGGAGAAGAAAGAAAAGAAATACTGATTTGTGGTTTTTTTTTTTTTTTTGTAGTGTTTAATTTCAGTTTGAATAATAACATCTTTCCTACATGTTCTGTCTGGTACTTACCATACAAGGAACTCTCAGCTTCTGTGAGTGATAAGGCAACCATCTTGTCAACCCTTGGAGGGGAAAAAAGAGAGGCAAATTTTCCCCTTCCACAGCCCTTTTGCATCAAAGTCCACAAGATTTGGTTCTGCTTTGCGTCTCTACACTGTCGGGAACAGAGCTCACAGATGGTTTGTAGCAGCAGCTTTTGTGGCCATACTCTCAAGTTTGAAGTGGTTTGCATACCATGAGGGGTACCTGTAACGCAAGCCTTGAACTTCTGCCTTTTAGAAGAAGCAGGCACTTAGAAATTGAGATCAGGATAGCCTTCTTCGTTTCACCCTCCTCTACTAATCGACACCCCATCTCCTCGAGGCAGTGGCTTTTTGGATATAACCAATGACTCAGTTATTTTTAGTCTGCATAAGCGTAATACTTGAAAAATCAAATGAAGGTAAGAGACTGAATGGGCACATTTGCTGTGATGCTCCTGCGGTGTTATGGCCTACTCGTGTGGTGGGTAGAGTCAAACCTTTGGTAACAGCTGGGCAAGCTAATGACAGAGGACTGAAACCAGAGAACTGAAGTACCTAGGCCTATCAGCTCTCACTCACTACCCACACTCAAAACACGAGGTAAACCCAGGCCAGTAGCCTGATCTGCACCTGCTTGCCTGGCCTCCCCTGGGGCGGCTATATTTAACAACAGCAAGTGGTCTGTCTTGACGTAAAAACAGATCTAGGGCTTCTGATATACTGTGGTTTTGTTATTTTAAAATATCAAAATTATTTCTAAAAGGGCTAGTAACAAAGCCTACTGTGCTAAAGATGAAAAACAGGAGTGCAGTTTTTTAGTATACATATGTAGATGGATGTGTGTGTGTGTATGTATATATATATATATAAAAATAGGCTACTGATTAGTCTGGTAATCTCAATTGCTTTTGCTCACAAGTTCTCTCCCGAACTTCACAAAAAATGACTTGATCGAAACTGCAGTGTTCTCACCTGCATTTTGACAAACCAACACCTGTCAAAACAACAGGCTACTTTGTGGGGGGGGGGGGGGGGAGAGTGATTACTCACAAAAAACGGGTTTTTTGGGGGGGGGGGGGGGGGGAAGTGCCTGATAACTTAAAGCCACGTGAGCTCTGTGGGATACGCATAGAGGTGGGAGCCATTCTGTGCTAGGGACTGAAAGCCCTTCAAGTTAAGGGGAATCTGTGGTATTGCTTTTTCCATTTAATAGACAAAACAGATGCCTGCCCTCTGTGGGAAGCTCACGTCAGCCCCAAGGGAAGGTTGTGAAAGTGGTTTGAGGGATGTGTAGTCCTTTTCTTGAGAATAATCAGTGCAAAGGGAAACGGGGCTTCCAAGTACAACATGCTGTACACATTTAACACCTTTGCCTAAATCTAGGGCTGGCGACAGAGTGATTTTATTTTACAACTTGCCAGTAGATGGAGCAAACTGGAGAGCAGAATACATATTCTTTTTCTACAGTCACTGAAATAAAATTAATTATTAAAAAAATGCAGCAGTGGGACTCATGCAGCCCTTTGCATCTGCTAGGAGGGTGCCTATTACGAGTATGCAGTTACATATAGACATGTAAGTGGAAAAACTAACCTTGAAAAGACTCTTCCAGCTTTCATCCTTGCTGGAGCAAAGATAAATTCGTGTACATAAGCAGGTCTCTGTTAGGACAGCCCTCCTTGAGGTACGTAGGTGCCTCTTGGAAGAGAATAATCTCTTAGAATCACTAAGCCAGCAATCCCAATTCTTGTCTGCTTTTCTGGACAGCATCGCACGTGGGTGTTTCTTTCTCTTCCCATGTTTACAGTTCCTCTTCTATTATTATTCTGGCCTTTGTTTTTTTGTTCGTATTGTTTGGTGTTGAATAAGAATGGTAAGTTGAAGGAGAACTGCCTCATGCTATGAAAAAAAACAACCAATAGTGTGGTTTATTTGAAGTTTTTTTGACTGCTGAATATTACTATCACTCTAATAAGAAATAATTCCTTTTTTTTTTCCATAACCTTGCTCTTTGCTATTCTGATTTTCATAGCCTGAGTGTTGTCACAATATTGTAATACCTTTTAAACGTATCTTTTCATAGAATGAACTGCAAGGAACAAGCAATGTGTGCTTGTGTGTGGGTGGTATTTAAAAACAAAATACAAAGAAACAAAAAAACCAAAACAGTGAACTACTACTATTTGTCAGTAGTCGTTCCTGTTTCAAGCAGAATGGGTGCCCTCTGCAGGTAACTATTTTCAGATGAGGTTTTTGGATGTGTGCCCCCTTTTACTTCTGACTGTCAAGGTCTTAGCCAGATCGACCTGTAGTATTTTGTGTGTTTTAAAGATATTGCAAACCCAGGCAAGCAAATGGCGCTGAGACATGAGTGCACCAAGCAGCTGTTTTGCATCTGAATGTGATTTTTCCCTAAAGTGTGTGTGTGTGTGTGTGTGTGTGTGTGTGAGGGGTGGGGTGGGTGGATGTTGGAGTAAATATTTTCCCTGCAGTTTGACAGTGTCGTCATTGTTTGTTTTTTTTTTTTTTTAATCTTTTTTAATGTCAAGAAGGTAACTATAAAGTTGTACTCTAGTAGCCTGCTACTTGAACTTGTACAGAATGAACAGGCAAAAGTCTAAACACTACTGAGAAGGCATCTTGCTTGCCTTAAAGAGATCATTGTATATTCCACCTTTTTTTCTTTTTCTCTTCAGTCAGTCATGCCTACATAGGTTGTAGTGTTCAAGCACTCTGAGTGGACTGCGTGAAGAGGGAGCTATATGCCTCTCTGAGGCAGAAGCGTGATGAAATTGCTCTTTCTGCTGGCTCTGTAACGCACAGTTCTGCTCGGTGAAGCTCCGACAGTGTGGAGGGAGGGGAGGAGACCAGCAGGGATGCTGCTGAGGTCTGAGCTGCACTTTGTGTCACATCAGCTAGGAAGAAAGGCTTGCAGCTGGGCAGCAGCTAAAAGCGCAGCAAGTTTGGGGAGCAGGAGAGTAGGTGGGGACCAGCCAAGCCTGCACCTACCCACCTCTTCTGGAGAGAGTGACACCGGCAAACTTGCTGGCAGCAGCTAAATGTAAAGGTGTGAAAGGAACCCAACTGCAACTTTAATCTGAACATGTGCATTTGTTTTCTCTTTCCTCTCTCCCATCACTGCAGTGACCATCTCCTAGCTGAGCACAACGCCTCATCTCATCCCAAAATGCTTTTCTGGCACAGCCAGCCTGAACATTATCACCATCACCAGTATCCCACCAGTAACAGCAGCTACCTGCGGTAAGAAAAGAATGGGGGTGATTTTTAATAATAAGTATAATGCTATAACACACAAAAATGCAGAGTGCACAGCCTTTGTTAATTCACAGGTTCAAGCCTTCAAGTAGAGCTGGTGATGACAGACCCTTTGAGAATAGCTTGAGCAGTACAGTCAGCATTGTGGAGATGTATGTTACTGTAGCTCCATGATTTTCACAAACCATGCCACCATACGTGTGTGCTAGTAACAGTGATAGGAATGTCTTACTGCTTATTATGATATTCACAGATGTGTTAATTTTTTGCTTCTTTTTCAAATGACATTCGCAGTCTGCAGATGAAACTGTTTATATGAAGTAATACGGACTTACAGATACCTTGATGTTTCACGTCTACTCTGATTATCTGCTGAAGCTCAGCTGATCTGCAGGATCAGGACTATGGGCTGCTTATTGTATCAGTCCATGCACACTGGCTTAAATGCCTTCCACTGAAATTCTGATGCAATATATAGCTTATTGCATCGGCATATTCCTGTGAGCTATGAACCTACTTTACCTCTTCGTGACTAAAATAATATTTGTGTACAGTATTCAGATTTTTCTTACAATTAAAAATGATTATGCTTTGACAAGAGCTAGGCCATAGATTCCAGATAATCTTGATGTTAACTGAGTTTCAATTTATAATGTGGTTCACTCTCTTTATTAAACTCCAGCTTCTTACTTTCTGGCTAAATACAATGTATGTGAACATGATAGTATTTAATCATCCACCTTGATACGGCTTTTTGTATGTTGGTAGTCTCACACCTATTGCTGTATCACAACATTACTTCTGCTCTTGTAGAATTGTCGAGTAGCATGTTTTTATTAGAAATGTGTTAAGTTTTAGGTTTAAACAAGGCAAACGGATTGAGGCTATATTTGGGTTCCAAAGTGTGAAACTAATGAAACTGCAGTGGAGTTTTACAAAATCAACCATTTCAATACACAGGTCAGGGTGATTTGAAATTTAGATTGACTAACACAAATGTGTAGCGCAGACAGTGCTGTTTCTATTGACTCAAGCAGTAAACCAGAAATGAAGAATGGGTGCTCGAGTTCCCTGATGCAACCGTGTTTACAAGTGACGTGCACAGTTCCCAGTGCAAAAGGAACCAAACAGCAAGGGAAAGCGAGGACACCCCCTCGCACCTCCAGTCCCCGCTTCTTCAGCCCCTGTTCAGCCTAGAGGAGGTGTGTCCCCTCCTAGCTTTTCTCAGGGCCCGTTTTCACCGAGTCTGTCTTCATTGTATTTGCTTCTGTTTCCCCACCCTTATCTAAAAATCTGCCATTCGAGTGCCTCTGAAGTTACTCTTCCCACGCTCTTTTGAGCACCTGCCTTTAGGTTTGGATGGCAGCATGCATCTGTGTTCTGGTACTGAAATACAATGTAGGGGGGACACTTCCATAAATTAAGGGTTGTCCTACTTGGTTAAACCCAGTCTAGTTTTCTGTAGAATACACGCAGCATCAAAAGTGTGACAATTTCTCCAGTCAAGACTGTTGCTCATAAAGAAAAAGAACAACTACTTCACTTTTGCAATAGAAATCGGTATTTATTTGCTTAGTCTTTAAAATAGCTTGAATTTGACTCTAGTCTCCCTGAGTATAAGGCAAATATTTAAGTTTAGCAACAAATCATCCCGAAACTTAAATTATGGGAAGACTAACAGAAAAATTAGGATTAAAAATAAAAAAAATGCTATGGGAGCAGCTACCATTCATACTACAATATGCAGAATGTCAACTGCAGGCATTAAAAAAATCACAAGGCTAGTTTAAAAACTGAAAAATAGAAAACTAGAAAGATTTTTGTTTACAAGGTTTCTGTAGGTAATCACTACCTGCCTAAAGATATTTTTAAATTCTTCTGGTAAAAGTTGAGAACACTGCATCATAATCACAAAAACTAGAGATTTAAGCTGAGTACTTGAGCTGATTTGCACTGAAGCTACAACTCCACACACTGGAGCTGGCGAGATCTGGCTGGAAGGCGGTGTTTGTGTGCACTGCTGATCCTCAGCAGATGACCTGAGAATGGGACTGATCAAGGCACCTGCCCTAAAGAAAGCAAACACATCAGAGGCCTGTACTTTAAAAACAACAAAAAACAAACACACACCACAAACCTCTACAGAAAACTTGTTGTAAATTAGCCAGGGATACAAATAATGCTAAAGATAGGCACTGTAATATTCGTAATTTAATAGATCTTCAGAAATGCTAACCATTGGTTTGCTTATCACGGACGAGGTTTACCCAACTTTTAAAGACTGAACTGCAAGAGGACGGGTCTTACTGTACCCACTCAAGATACCCTCAGCAGAGGTTGGAATTTATGTCAGAAGAAACCAATTCCCAGTATAATCAATTTATGATCTTGTAACTGCTATGTAGCTATGTTAATGTAAGTACAGTAAGCAGATAAACCAGTTTTGCTATGCATAAATCAAACTGTATCTGGCTTCTCTGGTATAGGATCCTGTCTTAACTTATCTCTGGCAGAAGTAGAAAGTGCACGACTTTTAGTTGTCCACAAACCATCGCTTTCTTTTGTATAACTTACAAAAGTGGGTTTTAGTGTTATTTATGCTACCTTATTTGTATAAAGTCCACTTTAGGTCTACAAATGTCTGCTTAGGGTAAGGTTTGAGCTCTCAATTAAAACTACAATGACAAAAGTTTAAGCTAACTTTATAGCCACTACTGTTGTATACTGAATAATGCCTGCTAATTTATTAACTGGACCATAAACATCCCATAACAGTCACTGAAATTAATTAATGCCATCATTTGGGTTGTTACTCATCTTCGGAACTGCTAACAAATATTTCCGTCATAATAATAAATTAATGAGTTCAGGGTATTGTTGTCATCTTGTCAGGCTTAAAAGAGGTATTTGGCCTGTGGTAATTTCAACTCTTCTCACTAAAAGCTGTTAACTTGATAGCTAGCGCCTATGCTAGTGACTTGTCCCTAAGCCCGTGCCCTCTTCATAAATTTCCCTTTTTTAAGCTTCCTCTCATATGCAGATGAATTGATCGTCTGTCCACAGACAGGCAGAGAACTCTCAAATCAATTACAGCAGCAAAAATACCAGTACCATTTTCTGGAGAAGATGGCAGTCGAATCTTAACTTACAAATTGCCTTTAAAAATCGTAAGTCATGGTCTGTGTGCTCCTCTTAGCTTTGAGGAGGTCATATGTACGTTTTCAACAACAGCTAGTATTTTGTTAATCATTAATGAAGTTAGGTCCTTCCCGACTTGCATCTTTTGAAAAACTTGTGCAATTGTACTTAAAGCACGTAACTATATGATCAAAATACATTTTATAGTCTCAACGCTCTTCTGTAGTTTGCTCTCTGGGTGTATCATTTTAATGAAACTTCTCATAAGACTATTTAACAATCCTCTGAATGATTAACATTTTGAGTTTTTTTGAGAACCCTTCTTTACATGAAGTTGTGGGTTACTTACCCTATGAGCATCCCCTCACTGGACTAAGTATTTTATAACCAGAGGGGACAGGCTTAAAATCTAAACCACTGGCAGTTCCAGTTCTTCCTTGCATCCCTCCTAGGCTTCTCCAACTTGCCAGGCCATTATAACCAGTAAGATTTAATTATTAAGAGCTTGGCTGTCTCTTGGATCCTGTCCTTGGAGAATATAATCAATTTTAATAACAGCATAAAATCAAGCTACTTTAGTAATTTTTGCAAAATATAAATTAATATCCCAGAAAGAGAAATTTGATGCTACTTGAGTACATCTGGATTTAACTCGGTTTGGCCTGTTAAAGGAGAGAAAGGCAGTCTTAATGCATCTCAAAAAAAAAAAAAAAAAAAAAAGGACTCAAAAGGATTCAAGTTGCTATAAAATGGGCCAAGAAACAAGTCAAAGGCCAGAAAGAAACAGAGGAAATGAATACTAAGCAAAGGAAATTCTTTCTAGGTAGTGCACTTTTCACCTTAGCACAGGTGGATGCAGTTTAACCTGAAGATGACACTACCTCGATCTTCCTAGCAGCTTCCTTCTGGCAATGAGGTGATAGAAGGGCTCTGACCTGCCAGTAGGTTCCTCTGAGCACCCGTCCTTTCTGCATCAGTCCTGCCTGCAGCTGCCATGTCAGCCTTCTCATTTGTGAACGCTTTTGATTTAACAAGCTGGAGGCTTTGAGCCCAGGATGCAGAGGTGTTGAGATTTTTGTTCCTCGCATTCAGGACTGTATTTATGGGGTGTGGTAGGTAGTATACTAGACGTAAAACGTAAGTATTATTTCTGCCTGGCAGGTACTGCTTTGTCTTTTTCTTTTATCTACTGAAGCTTGTCCGTTGGTCTTTTAGACTGCAAGGGGGTTTGGGTTCGTCAGGGCAGGCTCCTCGGTGTTCTCTGGAAAACGTAGGTCCGGACAAGGCAGACAACGTCAGCCCCTTCCCTTTCTATTACCTTTACTCTCTCTCTCGAGAACAAGAAGTTAACTTACTGCGATAGAAAAAATTTGCCTTATGTGAAGGAGGGGTATCGCCGGCGGCCGCCACACCTCGCCCGGCGGGCCCGCGGGGGGCCGGAGGCCCCTCCCGCCC